GGCAAGAGATATTCACGATGATGAAAAGCAATGACCTACGACCAAGATTACTCTATCCTGCAAAGCTATCATTTAGAATCAATGAACATATCAAGAGTTTCCCAGACAAAAAAAAAAGATAAAGGAGTTCATCACCACCAAACAAATATTATATAAAATGTTGAAGGGTCTTCTTGAAGGAGAAGAACAACAAAAATATGAAAAATGAAAAGGGCAATTAATACATCTATCAACAACTGAATCGACAAACAAAATGAACAAGCAGAACAGAAACAGACTCATAGATACAAAGGACTTTTTGTTGGTTGCCAGATGGGAGGGGGCTGGAGGGATGGGTGAAAAAGATGAAGAAATGAAGAAGTACAAATTGACTGTTAGACTGATGAACCTCAAAGGGAAGGGAGGAGAGAGGGCGGGATGAGATGAACCAAAGAACTTCTATGCATATATGCATAACCAATGAACACAGACAATAGTGTGGGGAAGGCAGGAGGGGAGCAGGATTGGGGAGGAGAGAGTTAATGGAGAAAAAAAGGGGGGGAACATCTGTATTAAATTCAACAATAAATATAAGTTTAAAAAAAAAAAGAAAGAAATCATTAAATGTCCATATTACCCAAAGCAATCTACAGATTCAAGGCAAACACTATTACATTTTCAACAGCATACATCACAGATCTAGAACAAATACTCCAAAAGTTTAGATGAAACCAAAAAAGACCCAGAATAGCCATGGCAATTTTGAAAAAGAAGAATAAACTTGAAGGGATCATAATTCAAAATATCACGTTATATTGCAAAGCCATTATAATCAAAATAGTCTGGTACTGTCACAAGAACAGGCATATCGATCACTGGAACAGAAGTGAGAACCCAGAAATTTACCCAAGATATTATGCTCAGTTAATATTTGACAAAGGTGGCAAGAGCATACAATGAAGTTAAGACAGCCTCTTTAATAAATGGTATTGGAAAAATTGGACAGGTACATGCAAAAAATAAAAATAAAACTAGAACACCAATTTACACCATATACAAGAATAAACTCAAATGGATAAAAGACGTACATGTAATTCGTAAAATCATAAAAATCCTAGAAGAAAATGTAGGTAGCAAAATCTCAGACATTACATGTAGCAGAATTTTCACCAATATATCACATAGGGCAGGAGAGACAAAGGAAAAAATTAGTAAATGGACCTACATCAAACTAAAAAGCTTCTGCACAGCAAAAGAAACCAGCATCAAAATTAAAATGGAACCCACTGTATCAGGGAACATATTTGCCAATGATACATCTGATGAGGGGTTAATTTCCCAAATATACAGAGATAGTTGTATTTATTCATACAACTCAACAAAAGGAAGACAAACAATCCAATTTAAAATGGGCAGAAGACCACCCTGGCTGGTTTGCTCAGTGGTTAGAGCATCGGCCTGTGGACCAATGGGTCACAGGTTCAATTCTGGCCAAGGGTATGAATTGCAGTTTGTCCTTGGCCCCGGTTAGGGTCATGCGGGAAGCAACCAGTCAATGTGTCTGTCTCGCATTGATGTTTCTCTCTCTCTCCCTCCTTCCCACTCTATCTGAAGATAAACAGAAAAATGTCCTCCAGTGAGGATTGAAAAAAATAAATAAATAAATAAATAAATAAATAAATAGGCAGAGGGCCTAAATAGACACTTCTCCAAAGAGGACATACAAATGGCCAAGAGACATATGAAAAAATGCTCACCGTAAGTAATTATCATAGAGATGCAAATTAAAATGACTATGAGGCATCACCTCACACCTGCCAGAATGACTGTCATCAACAAACCATCAAACAAATACTGGCAAGGGTGTGGAGAAAAGGGGACTCTAGTACACTGCTGGTGGAAATGCAGACTGGAAAACAATATGATGTTAACAATATATGTTTCCTCATAAAATTAAAAATGGAACTGCCATTAGACCCAGCGATCCCACTTGTAGGAATATATCCTAAGAAGCCTGAAACACCAACCTGAAAGAATATACGCACCCCTATATTCATAGCAGTGCTATTTACAATAGCTAAGATTTGGAAACAGTGGAGTGGGGAAGAGAGGAATAAATCGGGGGAGGGGGCGGGGGGAGAAGGGACATCTATAATACCTTCAACGGTAAAGATAAAAAGTAATTTTTTATCTTATCAAGTGTTCATCAGTAGATGAATGGATAAAAAAAGCTGTGATACATATACACATTGGAATACTATGCAAGCTGTAAGAAAGGAAGATCTCTTACCATTTGAAATGACATGGAGGGACCTGGAGAGTATTATGCTAAGTGAAATTAGCCAGTCAGAGAAATACAAGTATCACATTATCTCACTCATTTATGGAATCTAATGAACAAATTAAACTGATAAACAAAATAGATCCAGAGACATGGAAGTAGGGAACAGATTGACAAACCTCAGAGGGAAAGTTGGGGGGTGAGGGTGGGAAGAGATTAACCAAAGAACTTAGGTACACATGTACATAAGCAATGGACACAGACAAGAGTGCAGTGAAGGCAGGGGGTGAGGGTCTGGCAAAGAGGGTGTCAGTGAGGAGGGGAAGGAAGGATATCTGTAATACTTGCAACAGTAAAGGTAAATCTTTTTAAAATAAGGGGAAATAGTTTAGAAAGAAGTAGGATGCTCTGAAGGCTTTGTAGTTTTGCTTGGAGCCATACCATGGTTACTTCATGGTCAGAAGAGAGGTTATATAATCAAATGTATACCAGTGAAAGATACAGGAGGGTAGAAGAGATTAAATTGCTAGTATAATAATAAGTGAATCTGAGACAACAGGGAATGACCGGTACAATTGAATTTGGAGGGTCCCACTAGAGGGGTGACTATTGCTCAGCTCCAAGCACATAATACAAAAGAGGAATGTAGGCCCTCTGTTATCAGATCTTTCAAATTTTTCAGAAATCTGAAAGTTCATGGGAAATCTAGCTTGGGAATGCTGACCAATACTCTGAGAGTCAAACAGAATATCTCTTGTGGAAGCTAAAAACAATGAACTCCGAATCAAAGAGTAGAGTGCAGGTTACCAGGAGTTGGAGCAGGGGAAGGAAGAGATAGGGAGATACTGGTTTAAGGGTACAAGCTTTCATTATAAGATTAACAAGTTTAGAGGTCTAATGTACAGCATGGTGACTATAGCTACTAATACTGCATCATATACTTGAATGTTGCTGAGAGAGGAGATCTTAAATGTTCTCCCCACAAAAAAGAAATGGTGACTATGTGATGGGAAGGAGGTGGTAGCTAACACGGTGGTAGTGATCATTTTCAATTTATACTTGTGTCAAATCAATACATTGTACACCTTAAAATTACACAATGTTGTTTGTCAATTATATCTCAATAAAGCTGGAAAAAATTAAAAGCAAAACAAATAAAATTTTAATGAAAAATAAATAAATAAAAGAGAGATCATTGCACTGTTATTCTCTCTGTACAGATTAAGTGTGGTCATCAAAGATATAAACATAAAAAAGTCAACTGATTAGCAAAAGTATTCCATCTACTACCTTATTGCTCCTTTAGTATAAAAATAACATATGCAATGTGCCTGGGGATTAGAACGCAGACATCTTGTACAGGCTCCTATTTATCCACTATAAAGTCTTTTTCAGAAATACATTATTTGATGTCATTCTAGGGCCTTTATTTAAAAAAATGGACAAAGTCTTTATCAAAGTTTATTAGTTGTTCAAGGACCTTTATCTAAAAGAGCCAAACAGAATTTATAACAGTTTCTGGAATAAGTGTATTGCTAATTCATTGCAATTACATACAAATAAAATTTTGGTTCAGAAAACCTAAGAATACCTATACTTTTTTCTGACACAGAGCCACAACCTTGGTGGTCAAAGAGTGGTCCTCAGACCAGGACCTGCAGCATCAACACCACCTGGGAGATTTTCTTTTCAGAATCTCTGGGCCCACCAGGATCTGCAAAGTAAATAGAATGCCGAATGATTTATAGCACATTGAAGTTGGAGAACTACTGGTCTAGAGTAAGTTCTCTCACCTTCTCATGTCAACAGTTGAGGCAGGATAATTATTTGTGTTGACTGTTACAGGTGTTTAGCAGTTTCCCTCCAGACATTGCCAAATATCTCCAGGGGCAAAATCACCTCAGGTTGAGAACCACTGGCCCAGAGTTTGAAAACTGAAAGCAACCTGACAGAATCCAAACAAGGCCCATTCCTTGCTCAGCTTGTAACTTTAAGCAGATCACTAAACCCCTTAAGACCCCATTTCTGCAAAGGGAAGTGGAGTTCATAATAATACTGCCTCACAGAATGGACTTCCAAAAAATTAAACCAGATGATGCTTATAATATGCTAAGCTCAGGTTATGCAGCTTAAAAATATCTAAGTGTATCTCTCATAATTAACATATATTTCATAATGAGGGACTAAATGACAGTTCTTAACTTGTGAAATAAATACAAAATCCTTTATCATTTTGACAAAGGTGTCAAGAAGCTAAAGAGTGTGGTGGCCAGGATTGCAATGCATATCAAAAGAACACAGCTCTCCCCTTGTTGGAGAGGAGAATAGCAATTCTCTGGAGACATCAGGGCTGTGCCCCCACTGCAATCAGTGCTTGAGGGTGAAAGGGACCTGGCCCTGACAGGTTTCTTAGTGTCAGACATTGGAAAAAATGTTAACTCAGGGCTGGGACAAGGTGGTAGGAGGTCGACCTCTGAAAAGCAAAAAGATCAAGGACAAGCAGAAATAATAGTTTATTTGACTATTAACCTGGTCTCTTGAGATCAGAGGATCATTAGGAAACCTTTCCTTTCTGTTTATTCCAGAGGCCCAGAGGGAAATTACGTACTCAGAAGTTGGAATAACACGAGGGAAATGTGCCTGATGAGCAGATAGAAAGCTGTAAATATGTTTCCTGTGCAGTCCGTCGGCTTGTATATCATTGGTGGACAGGACATGGTTGTTGCTTTGGATTCGTAAGCTGTCTCAGAAACTGATGCTTCACTCCTTCCTGCTGTCCTGTGTGGGGACAGGGCTTCAGTCTCCATTGTCCACCATCCAGGCAGCAATTCAAACTTCCACATGGAGACATTCTTCTCAGAGTCCCCATCCAGGTGAGTCTGAGAATCAAGTAGGTACATCAGGAAAGGGTCAGAGAGGATGGAACCTGACTTCACCTGAGTCATTGCAAACTTAATTAGCCTAGCCCTGAGGCTAGATATCTCTGTTTGTATTCTTGGTTAAGTAACTAATTATTATACTTGATTTAGAGGAATACTAACTATTAAATTGAAATACAATGTTCATATACATTAAGACTTAATTCCAGAATCATTAAATAAATAATAACTGAGTATCTGCTATGTGCCAGAATATTCTAGAAACATTATATTATTTTAAATCTAAGGCTTTACAATTTATTAAGGCTTTACAATGTTGACATCATTAAATTATTGCTATTTTGTCTTGTTTCCGTTAGTATTTGCATCCTCATTCAATTTTGCTTACTAATAGTTGTTTTGAAACTAATTTCAACCTGTTTTCGTTATCCCTTCATACTTCCCATGTTGTCACTTTTTACATTCTTAGTTTTGTTTCTGTTTAAGTTCACATATATTCACTTACCTTTATGAAAATCCAAATGTGAACAAAGCAGAAGTCCCTGCTCTTTTGGATCATACAGCATAATGATTAGGACAGAGAACAATGAAATAAATGTGTGTTTAAAATAATGTCCTCAGGAAGAATCATATAAAAAAAGCTATTCAGTATAAATAGATAGAATTGTCATGGTGTAGGAAGGATTTATAAAGCATGATCTAAGGAGGTTTTTGCATATTGGATGAAGACCAGAAGTAGGATTAGAGTATGCCAAATGGGTTTGTCACAAAAGAGGAAAAAACCCAAAGTTCAGTAAATAATAGAAAAATTGCCACATAAGAAAAGGGAGCCCGGCAGGTTTGGCTCAGTGATTAGAGCGTTAGCCTGCAGTCCAGAGAGACCCAGGTTCGGTTCTCGTTAAGGCCACGTACCTCGGTTGCAGTTTGTCCCTGGCCCTGGTTGGGTTGTGCAGGTGGCAACCACTCAATGTGTTCCTTTCATGTCAATGTTTCTCTCTCTTTCTCTCTCTCTCTCTCCCCCCACTCTATCTGAACAAAAAATGGAAAAATGTCCTCAGGTGAGGATTAAAAAAAAAAAGGAAAAGGGGACTTATCTTCTATCATACCATATAAAAATGAAAATGAATTGGTCAAACAATTATGAAATATGTACAGAAAAAAACAAGTCTTCTACTACTTGATACTAAAAATGCCCAACTTTGCCCTGGCCAGTTTGGCTCAGGGGTTGGAGTGTCAGCCCGTGCACTGAAAGGTCACAGGTTTGATTCTTTGTCAATGACATGGACCTGGGTTTCAGGTTCAGTACCCATCCCTGGTCTGGGTGTGTGGGGGAGGTAACCAACCGATGTGTCTCTCTCACAATGATGTCTCTCGCTCTCTCTCATCTCTATCTCTCTCTCTCTCTCTCTCTCTCTGTCTACCCCCCCCCCACACACACACACACACCACCACCACCACCATTCTCTCTAAAAAAACAATGAAAAAAATGTCCTTGGGTGAGGATTAACAAAAATTTTTTCAAAGCACAGCTTTTGTTACACTTTATATATTTTCTTTTGTAAAGTGTTGGTTTATCCCTTTGCTTTGGGTGTACAATGTATAAAGTGACCTCTTTTGTCTTTTAGAAGTTTATTTTTGTTCTCTTATTACTTTGCTTGGCATCAGGGGAATGTGTTTAGGGTTCAAATGCTGCAAGAATCAAGAAAGATTCTTCTTCCTCACGCCTGACCTTATTAGATCATGTTTTCCTCCTTGTCCATTGCATTTCATTTCTTTCTCTCTCTCTGTTTACTAAAATGACTTTTCATATAATTACAACTATTATTTTATTCTTTATCTTTTATTAATGTATAGTTAGCATACAATTTATATTAACTTCTGGTGAACAATATGATTCAACATTTACATACCTCACAATGTGTTCACCACAATAAATCTAGTAACTATCTGTCACCATGCAAAGTAATCAAGATATTATTAATGATATCCCTCATACTATACACTACATATCCATGGTTTATTTTATAACTGAAAGTTTGTACCTTTCATTCGCCTTCACCTTTTTTACCCATTCCCTCAGCCCCGCCCCTGACAACCATCTGTTTGTTCTGTGTAGCTATGAGTTTATTTTTATTTTGGTTTGGTTGTTTATTTGTTTTGCTTTGTTTTAGATTCTATATGTAAGTAAAATCATAAGGTATTTTTCTATCTCTCTCTGACTTATTTCACTTAGCATAATGCCCTCAAGGCCCATACCATGTTGTTGCAAATAGCAAGATGTACTTCTTTTTTATTCCTGAGTCATATTCTACTTTGTATATACAGGGTAGGGCAAAACTAGGTTTACAGTTGTGAGTACCCAGAACACAGCGTTTATTCGTGTATTATTATTATTTTTAATTATTATATTATTTTCCATATGAACAACTGTAAACCTACTTTTTCCCCAATCTGCTCTGTGTGTGTGTGTGTGTGTGTGTGTGTGTGTGTGACCCCTTCATTTTCCATTCATCTATTGATGGACACCCAGCAATTCTACTTGTGGGTATCTGGGTATTTATCTGAAGAAAACAAAAAACACTAATTTGAAAAGATATGTGCATCCCTATATTCACTGCAGCATTATTTACAATAATCAAAATATAAACAGATTTTCTTAATGTTTGTTTAAATACACAGCAAAGTGTTCATTCCAATATGGAGCCCAAGTTTATTTGTCTAAGGCAGGTATCAGAATTGGAATTGCTAGGAGCCATTTCTACAGTGTACAGGGAAACAATCTGGCCATCTTGCGTTACAGCCACTCCTTGCCAAATCAGCATAAGAAAGACACAGAAATAATACAATTATAGTTATGGGATGTGTGTGTGTGTGCATGTGTGCACACATATGTGTTACTTGTAGATGTGAGCAGTCCTCAAAAGAGGGAGACTAGGGATCATATATTCCAAGGTAACTCTTACAATACGGGGGCCAGGATTTAATCAAGAGAAGGTGCTAAGGAGAGAATCTGTGTTTGCATTCTTGGGACACATTTGCAACAAGATTAATAAAGTGCAAAGGCAGTGGGGACAAAGAAGTCCCTGTGCTTGAGGTTTCGGCATTAGCAAAGAGCCCGTTTCACTCCTCAACTTGTCTGACACCTTCTCTCACCTGAGCTCATTCACCTCCAACACTGGCTTCCTTTTTTATTTCTCTTTTTTTGGCTGAACATTAAAACAAACACCTTCCTTGGGATCTTTGCACTGGCGGTTCCCTCTGCCCAGCACATACTTTCCCACAGAACCTCCCATCTCCTTCCCGCTCTTACTTGAAGTCACTGTACAAATGTCATCTTGTTCGCAAGTCTTGCCTCAGTGCTCATGAAAAATGAAACACCCTATTCATTTTGTTATACCTGCATTCCTTTTTTTTATACCACCTATCACCACGTGAAATGTGATGTATTTTTATTATTTGCTTCTATATGCTTTCTCCATCGTTGAATTGTAGGAACCGTTGTTCTTCAGTACACTATACTTACACCCGACAGTGCCAAAAACATGATCAGCACTCAATTTATATTTCTGAAATACATGAAGGATTTCTCATTAAAACTATGGAATAAATAATACCTTACGGAAAAAGGTGACTGATACAAAACTTTCATAAAACAGGTGGAATGGGGCTTTCCTGAAAGGGACCAGATTCATATATAATATATTAAAATGAATTTTTACTGTAAATATAAATTTTAGCATTTCAAATATGTGAGTAATGAAAGTTTTTGTGAATTAGTCATATTATTTCTTCTCTTTCTGAGTAGTCAACTCCACCATGTGGAACCAGGGAATGGTACACAAATTTCAGAATTTCTTCTTCTGGGATTTTCAGAGGAACAAGAGCTGCAGCCCCTCATATTTGGGCTTTTCCTCTCCATGTATCTGATCACTGTGTTGGGAAACCTCATCATCATCCTGGCGGTCAGCTCAGACTCCCACCTCCACACGCCCATGTACTTCTTCCTCTCCAACCTGTCCTTGGTAGACATCTGTTTCACCTCCACCACCGTCCCAAAGATGCTGGTGAACATCCAGACACAGAGCAAAGTCATCACCTATGAAGGCTGCATCACACAAATTTATTTTCTTATACTCTTTGCAGTGCTGGATGTTTTTCTTCTGACTGTGATGGCCTATGACCGTTTTGTGGCCATCTGCCACCCCCTGAACTACACCGTCATCATAAACCCCCGGCTCTGTGGACTGCTGGTTCTGATGTGCTGGATCATGAGTGTCCTGAATTCTTTGTTACAGTGCTTAATGGCATTGAGGCTATCCTTCTGTGAAGACTTGGAAATCCACCATTTTATCTGTGAACTCAATCAGATGATCAAACTCTCCTGTTCTGACACCTTTCTTAATATGGTGGTGATGTATTTTGCAGCTCTCCTGCTGGGAGGTGGTCCTTTTGCTGGGATCATTTACTCATATTCAAAGATAGTGTCCTGCATACATGGAATGTCATCAGTTCAGGGGAAGTATAAAGCATTTTCTGCTTGTGCATCTCACCTCTCAGTTGTCTCCTTATTTTACTGTACAATGCTAGGGGTGTACCTCAGCTCTGCGGCTACCCACAATGCACACTCATGTGCAATAGCCTCAGTGATGTACACCGTGGTCACACCCATGCTGAACCCCTTCATCTACAGTCTCAGGAACAAAGACATCAAACAGGCTCTGAAAACATTCTTTGTAAAGCAAACTACAAATAGGCAAGTTGTCCTAACACTAAAGACCTGCCCATGATTGCAGAGGTCAGAGGCTCGGAGTCAGATATAGTGATTATTTTCAGACTACAGAAGTAGAACTTTCTCTTTCCATTTATTTCCTGAAATTTCCATTTCTTTTACCATAACTTTTGTATTTAATTTTAGGGACTCACTTTATTAAGCTTTCTTCTCTTATATTCCACAGTTTTTCCCTTTGTTATTTTCCTAGTTTCCAAAATTTATTACCATCATGGAGAAGAAATGTTTTGAAAATACCATTTACCTAATGAGATAACATAGATTTTTTTAGAATAATTTTTCTCGCCCTGGCCAGTTTGGCTCAGTGGTTAGAGTGGTGGCCCGGGGACCAATGAGTCATGGGTTGGATTTCGGTCAAGGACATGTACCTCAGTTGTGGTTTGGTTCATTCCTAGCCCTGTTCAGGTTGTGCAGGAGGCAACCAGTTGATGTGGCTCTATCACATCAATGTTTCTCTCTGTCTCTCTCTCTTTCTCCTTCCCTCCCACTCTATCTAATGATAAATAGAAAAATATCCTCAGGTAGGAATAGAAAAAAGAAAAGGAATAATTTTTCTCAAGTGACATATATAGTACCAAATAATTTTTTTTTACTAAAAGAACCATCCTAAATTGTACTAGTCCTATGGGAAAAACTACACTTAATGACCAAGGCAATTTATACAACTTTATAAGAGGGGAAAATCTGAGACTTCTGTTTTTCACTTTTATGTTTGACATTCCATTGTATATTAGTTGTCTTAACTGTTCTTCTTGATAATGTAGACTCTAACATACCAGTGTGATTAATAACTGGACAGTTGGTTTTATTTTTGTTAGGATCCTGTTCCCTCTCAGCTCAGTGCTCACAATTCCTGCCTTAGCCGCTTGCAAAGTGATGATCAAATCCATGTCTCCAAGAATACTCTTCACTGAAAGACACATTTTAATAAATAAGTTGACCTAATATGATCTTAGAATCACAGGTGACCTTCAATATGATGAAGCAAAATTTAAAGCATATATTGCATTACAATGCAAAATATTTTTTTCTTCATGCTGTACATCTAGTCACTGATGTATGAAAGATTAGTGCCCATGTGTAAGGGGGTTTATTCATATGGGTGAAGAACTGATTGGTATTTTCTTATTTTTTATTGAATTATCTTTGTGTTTCTGCTTGAAAACTTCCATTGCTGCCCATAATATGACTTTTCTCGTTGCTATAAAGGCAATATATCCTCCTTCTTAATTTTGCCATAACCACTGAAGGGATGGTGAAAGATCATTATCAGTATCGTCCATCATATATCTCCATTATATTCAGGATTTTATCCATGTTTTATGATCAAAGAATGACTCAAAGGAGAGCTTTCATTCCTGTCCATCATGTGAATCAGAGTCACCAGTTTTCCTACTTAGGAACGTCCTTTAAATTCTTCTTGTTACAGGAAAATGAACCCCCAGTGAGAGTTTTTAAATACAAGCTGTCTGTCATAGATACAAACTGGTGGTTGCCAGAGGGGACAGGGTTCAGGGGCTGGCTGAAAAAAGTGAAGGAATTAAGAGTACAAATTTGTAGTTACAAAATAGTCACAAGATAAGAAGCACAGCATGGGAATATAGTCATTAATATAGTAATAATTTAGTTATTACTAAGTATGGTGTCAGGTGTGTACTTAAAATTTTGGGTGGATCACTTTGTATGTAAATTATATGATTGTCTAACCACTATACTGTATACCTAAAATTAATATAAAATAATATTGAGTCTCAACTGTAATTTAAAAAATAAAATTAAAACAAGAAAGTATACTAATCATATGCCAGAAAATTTAGAAAAGAAATTAAAAATTAATATTATTTTCAGCATTTAAATAAAATAAATTGCTCCAGAGCATTGAAAATTAAATAAATCAATAACTAAATGTTGTCTGAAATAAGCTGAAATGACAGAGTAACCATGAATGCTGTCTTTAAATATGAGAAAAAATGCCAGAATGTTCTTCTGTATATTTAGTGCTAATACATCAACTTTTGTACATATTTCTAACTTTTTTTTACATCTGTTATTCCTTATTGTTCTTCTTGGCCTCTGTGATGAGATCTATTTCTAAACCCTGAATCATCTCCAACTGTTATATTCACATTTGACCAAAGATTGCCTTTCCTACATTAAAAATACTATGTATATATGTATGTATGTATGTATGTATGTATTTTTAAATCTTTATTGTTGAATGTAAAATGTATTAAAGATGTTCCACATTTTTCCCCCATTGACCCCCTCCTCCCTACTCCCGCCCCCCTCCCACCTTTTCCCTCCTTATTGTCTGTGTCCATTGGTTATGCATATAAGTTCCTTGGTTTATTTCTTCCCACCCCGCCAACCCCTTTCCCTTTGACGTTTGTCAGTCTAGCAAAGAATTTGTACTTCTTAATCTCTTCACCTTTTGCACCCATTCCCCCAACCCCCCTCCCATCTGGCAACCAACAAAATGTTCTCTGTATCTATGAGAATGTTTCTGTTCTGCCTGTTCATTTTGTTTGTAGATTCCATTGTTGATAGATATGTATTCATTGCCATTTTGTTTGTTCATGTATTTTATCCTTTTCTTCAAAAAGACCCTTCATCATTTCATATAATAACGGTTTGGTGGTGATGAACTCCTTTAACTTTTTCTTGTCTGGGAAACTATATGGCCATCGATTCTAAATGACAGCTTTGCAAGATAGAGTAATCTTGGGTGTAGGTTCTTGCTTTTCATCACTCTGAATATTTCTAGCCACTCCCTTCTTGCCTGCAAAATTTCTTTTGAGAAATCGCTGACAGTCTTATGGCAACTCCCTTGTTGGTAACTAACCGCTTTTCTCTTGCTGCTTTTAAGATTCTCTCTTTATCTTGAACCATTTGCATTTTGATAATGATGTGTTGGTGTGGGCCTCTTGGGGTTCATCTTGTTTGGGACTCTCTGTGCTTCCTGGACTTGTATGTCTGTTTCCTTCACCAAGTTAGGAAAGTTTTCTGCCATTATTGTTTCAAACAGGTTTTCAATTTCTTGTTCTCTCTCTTCTCCTTCTGGCACCCCCAAGATGCGAATGTTGGCATGCTGGAAGTTGTCCCAGAGGCTCCTTACACTATCCTCATTTTTTTGGATTCTTTTTTTCTTTTTGCTGTTCTGATTGGGCGTTTTTTGCTTCCTTATATTCCAAATCGATGGTTTGCTTCTTGGATTTACGTACTCTACTATTAAATCTGTGTAAATTATTCTTTATTTCAGTTAATGCCTCCTTCAATTCTGACTGTGCATCCATCATTTCTGACTGGTCCTTTTTGATGCTCTTGAGGCCCTCACTAAGTTCATTGAGCATCCTTATAAGCAGTATTTTGAACTCAGCATCTGTTAGGTTGCTTATCTCCATTTTGCTTAGTTCTTTTCTTGGGGTTTTGTTCTGTTCTTTCATTTGGAACCTGTTTCTTTGTCTCCTCATTTTGGCTGCCTCCCTGTGTTTGTTTCTGTGTATTACTTAACGACAGGTATCGGGCTAGCTGAGACTAGATGCTGCTCGTTTGAAAGAATTTAGGAAAAACCTGAAGCAAGATCCAAGACAGGCCAATCCTATGGTTAAGCAAGTGGCAACAGCTTGGGTGGGCCTAAAACTTGGGTGGGGCGGGGCGGGGCCTCAGGGAGTCACTAAGGCGGGGCTACCAGTGTGAGCCAGGTTGCTAGAGTCCCAGATACGGCGGCTATTTGCCGCCCCAGGAAAGGGCTCACCAAAGGAACAAAGGCCTCTGACAGCACGTTTGTCCCAGAGAAAGCCCCCTCTCCAGCCCTCTCTCCAGAGCCAAACAGCTCAGTTCTTCCCTGTATGTCTCTGGCGCCCCTCGAGCTGCCTCCCCTCCAAGCTTAGAGGGAAGAGTGCCCAATAAGTTCGTGCGCGGGCCCTTTAAGGAGCTGCCTGGGGCTCCAGCCACTTCAGCTTCCCTGAGCCTCAGTTCCCTCTGGTTTTTCAGCCAGAAGTTATGGGGACTTCTCTTCTTGGCACTGGAACCCTGAGCGAGGCGTCTGGTGTGGGCCAGGGACCCCTCAGTCCTCAGGGAGGACCTTCCCAGCCGAGGTATCCTCCTGATTTTTATCCGCCACACGTGGGTGTGGGACCAGCCCGTCTCGCCACCGGCCCTCGCGCCTCCGCCCCTCCTACCAGTCTGGATGTGGCTGCTGCTTTAATTCCGTAGTTGTACGACTTCCATTCAGCTTGATTTCAGGCAGTTTTGAATGATGGTTGTTCTGTAGTTTAGTTGTAACTTTGATGTGGTTGTGAGAGGATGCGATACCGCGTTTACCTATGCCACCATCTTGACCGGAAGTCCTAAAGATACTATTTAAAGCTATCTATCTTTACATAAGAAATTATAGCTGAGAGATTGCATCTTCCTCATTTTAAAAAACTTTTGTATTATATTCTGTTATTTCCAGTTCTTTGAAAATCTACTGGATTAGTGACCCATGTTAATACCATTAAAATATTATTTTAAGACTTTATATAAGTTAAATTTTAGATTCACATTCAATTTTGATCATAAAATTGTTTTGTAACCTATACTTAACATAATTTTGTTCCTACTGATTATCTCTATTCCATAAATTCTTAGTTTGTTTTATTTTATTCTTTAATACTTAATTTATTAATTTTTTATTACAGATGTCCGTCTATTTTCCCCCTTGTCACACTCCTTCCTGCTCCCATCCCCCCAACCACCACCTTCACAGAATGGTGGTCTGTGTCTATTGGTTATGCATATATGTATATAAGTTCCCTGGTTTACCTCTTCCTGGCCCCCACCACCACTACCACCACTCTTCCCTCAGAGGTTTGTCAGTTTGTTCCCTACTTCCATGTCTCTGGCTCTATTATGTTCATCAGCTTATTCTGTTCATTGTATTCCACAAATAAATCAGATCATATGATTTTGTTCTTTCTCTGATTGCCTTATTTCACTTAGCATAATACCCTCCAGGTCCCTCCATGTCATCTTAAAGGGTAAGAGAGCTTTCATCCTTACAGCTGCATAGTATTCCACTGTGTATATGTACCACAGCTTTTTTATCCACTCATCTACTGATGAACACTTGGGCTGTTTCCACATTCGAGCTATAGTAAATAGCACTGCTATGAACATAGGGGTGCACATATTCTTCCAG